CACCGGAAAATGTCGTTGTCGCAACTGCTCCTGATGTCACCTGTCCAGTCTATCCCTAGTCCATTCTGCATAGCACTTTGCTCCCTGTACTTAAACTACTGTCCCGAGGATTCAGCGAGGTGGATCCTTATAAATCTTGATCACATCTTGGCACCCTTTTCGAATTTCGGACGCTCTTCCCTGTACATCTTTTTAAGAAAAAAGAGTAACAGTAACGTCCGCGGCTGTCTTCATGGAGCTTCTGCGCCGGACTAATTTTGTCTCTTCCCGGAAGGGCTCTATACGATGTTAAGAGTTCCAATAATGCCTCCTGTTGATCTCCGTCTTCAAATTTTGCTTTGTTAATTGCGCTTTTGGAGGTTTGCAGGAAACGTTCCACCTTCCCACTGGAACGCAAATGAAAGGGGGATGCTAAAATGTGCTCAATCCCATTGAGTTGACAAAATTTCTGAAACGTCTCACCCGGAAACTGGGATCTGCCTGATACTATTGTTGCCGGTAATCCCTCAATGGAAAACACTGAAGGGCCCGAACTGTAGCATCCGTCACGCAGTTTGTCATGCGGATCACATACGGGAAATCAGAGGATGTATCAACCTGAATTAACCACATGTTTCCTTGAAACGGGCCCCCAAGTTTGATGTGAATCCTCTCCCAAACCTCCTGAGGTTCCGGCCACTCCTTGAAACGACTTCTCGGACTCATCTCAAAGGCTTGGCACGGCTTACACAGTCTCTATATCCCTATCAATCTTAGACCAATGGTTGTTTGTTTTGTGTTTGTTTTTTTATTTATTTAATGTGTAGACGCAAAACAAAGGGCCAACTCAGGATTTGCTCAAGGATCAGGGAAACAGGAGGTAAGTTTGATCGAGATGGGGGTCATTGGCCAAGACGCAGAAGTACAATACTTGTTACAGGTTCTTTAGAATTCGTTTTGATCCACGGCTGAGGCTACATTTTTAAGAAAAGAAAATATGGATATTTCCATAGTTTGTGATTTTCGAAACACATGTTGGCAATCTGAATATGCGTGTTCAAAGGTTTCCATTCGTATGTAAAAAAGTATCTCTAATATTTTTTTAAAAAACGACGAAAGAGAAATTAGTCGATAGTTTTGAATTTCACTTTTGTTGCCTTTTTTCGGCTTAATCTGAGCTGTTTTAAAAATATTTGGAAAAATTCGTGTGCTTAAGGATGCATTAAATATGTGAGTTAACGGGTATATAGT